CAAACAAAATATATTCTTGCAGTCCTGATCGATCTCCTTTAATCATCAATTTCCCAACCCCCTTCCTATCTCGTTCTCCTTGCATACTGGTTACTCATGAATAGCCCGTGGAGAACACTAGCATAACTTTAATAGTAATTCTAAGGTCATTTTTCGTTAAATAAGATTTGGTCGAAAAATTTCTCTAAGGAATCGCCATGCTATCTCATTACTTATCAAAGCTCTTAAAGGGCTTTATGCTAAGAGCAGAAATAGGGAGTGCCTAAAATCTTCTTTATCATTTACTATAGTGAAAACAGTGATCATACAATGGATTCCTGGTCACTGTGGCATTAAAGGCAATGAGCTTGCTGACACACTTGCTAAGAAGGGGACAACGATTTTGCAATGCATGGACCGGCCGATGTCTTTCCACACAATGAAGGCCTTAATCAGAAGAGAATTCCAGACCTCAAGGTGTAACGAACTTAAAATTCGAACAAAGGAGAAACAGTGGACAGTGTCACTCTCCGGCATAGCCGACTGGCCCAGAATGGAAGCCGTTTCTGAGTTTAGACTACGTACCGAACACGATTGCTTTGCAAAACACCTTCACAGATTGGGAGTATACATTCAATCCACATGCACCCTATGTAATCTACAGGAGGAAATTTCAATCCACATGCACCCTATGTAATCTACAGGAGGAAATGGAGAAGCCCCACCTGATTCGGTGTCCAGCTCTAAAGACAACGACGGAAAGCCAGAGATACTGGGAAGCAAGAAGACAGCTAATGAATTGTTATTAATTAACTGCTATAAACGTACCCCTCACCCTTGGGGGAAGCTGAAGTCAACGTTTAAGGGCTAATGATAAATATTACAAAGCCTGCCATTTGAAATAATAATAATATTGTGAAAAACGGATTTTGATACCGCAAAGATTCCAATAGTCCTGGGCTTTTTAAGTGGATTGGAGTTTTACGAGATGCTGTTTTGCTCTAGAGACGTGATGATTTACAGATTCGGCCTATATCCCATCTGCATTAATTCACTAGTATTGATAAAAGTGGACTCTTACTTTTGAGATTCTAATGATTCCCACATCTAGTCATCCTACATCTCTATCACCTTAGAATATATTTACATGGGTAGCTGTCTGCATGGTATACTTAGTATAAAACGTTGCATACCTTGACAGCACTGAAATTATTTGTCAGCAGACAGAGAACATTTCTATATTCATGGGTCCAAAACCTTCTTTGTCATTCTATTTGAAATCGTCTAAGTCCGTGTAAATTTGTTAAAAAGTATTTTAGAGGCGCTTTTGAAGGTTAAGTGGACCTCATCGCACCCTGTGTTGCATTAAATGAATGTCGATACTGAGCATATCGTTTCTAGAGCACCTCAGATTATTAAAGTATTGCTTTATTGCCTTCAAAGAAGGTTGTCAAACTGTTGTCTATGTCTAAGAATCAGAAAATTTTGACACCTTTTATTGAACTTATTCTGGCTAAACATCTAACCTCTTAATGCTGTTATATCAGTTGAAACTTCTTGACAGAACCCTTAGTGCTACCAAGCAAGCTTTCTTATTGATTAGGAAAAAAAAATTTCATTTGTAGAGGTTGCAGTCGTGTGTGCAGAGGACCTCTCAAATAATCAGTCACTAGTTCTCATTCAAGTTTCATTAAAAGCATTCAAATACAAATCGTGTTTGAGGTGAATACCTTCAATGAACTTCGGAGGCATAAAATTAAACCCAGCTTCAAAAAATTGCTAGACTCAAAAAAGGACAATAAAAACAAAGCAAATATTTCTCCTTTAAACTGGGTTTATGGCGCTTTTGGGAAGATAAATACAACTTTATATATATCTTCCAATATACGTTAGGCTAATATTCAGCCCTTCTACATACACTAGTGATGAATTAGAGAAATTTGTAAAATATGATGTTAAATTTTTCGTCTTATTTAATACTTCCTTAAACCATTGTGAAGTCATGAGAGGCTTTGACTATTAAAATTATTCAGCCAGGTGAAACTTTGGAGATCACACCGGGTACTGAACAAATAAGACTTGGCCATACCTCAAAAAATATTTCCACCAAAATCCCCAGGTAAGAGAATGTTCCCGCAGTTTGCAAAATAGGAAACAGATCGTATGATGACGTTGCGTTTTCTGTTTCATACAACATACTTGCCATAAGATTAGAAATCAGAAACAAGTAGTGCTCTTGCACGTTTGCATAAATACGATTCCCGATTGGCTGAGAGATTTCTGCACAAACATTCCAGAGTATCCCATGCCGACTGAGTTTGGCCTGTACAGCCCACAGGAAGCACTATTGAGTCACCACCCCAATCCAGAGCGTTTCATTAACCCCAAATCAAAGCCAAGAAATGAAAAAGGAGATCTTTGGTGTAAAGTAATTGATGATTATTTTTCACCACTTTAATTGATCACATTCACCAAAATTTAATTGCTATAATTGTAACAACAGTCATTAATAAGCCAATATTTATTGATTCATTTATTAAATTATCGCTCGTCGATCAAAATATGAAGGTTACTTATGCACAGTTGATGCTACCAAATTTTATGTTTATGTTCCAGCAATAGATGTAACAAAGTTGTTGTCATTAAACCCATAACGCATACTTCTTGTGGCTAGGAATACGCTTGGTTTATTGGGGTTATTGAGGAAAGAAAATTTCTCGAATGCCACGTTTCCTTCTAGCTTATGAGCAAAATTACTGATCCCTGCAGAAAAAGCCCTTCTTCATCCCACTTTCAAATAATTGTCATGCTTGATTGAATCAAGATAAGTATAGCAACTAATACGAAAATTAAAAGTTGTGAAGACTCTAACTGTCATTACCTTAAAAGTATATTTTGAGATTTTTTACTTTTATTTGGTACTATTCCAAAGGGTGTTGATTTTGGATTTTTATTCTTTGAAACCTAGGTCTCTGACGCCCTGCATATGTTGTCATTCGTTTTCATACTCTGTAATTTCTTGCACTAATAGTACCACAATAATTTCTTCATACTATTTCTAGAAGCGCATGCGTAGATCAAACAGTTTTGAGACGGTACATGGTGAAACATAAATTTACCTATCAGCTTAAAAAAAAATTGGAAACTCTTAATTCCTAGGCTCTTTCGAATTCCCTTACATGTCGCTAATATTGAAATTGTTGGAAACTGGGAAACGGTAATCCTGAGTACAGGAACGTTTCCAAAAAGATAAAAGCATGAGTTTATTCGCAAACGTGCACAAAATGTATGAAACTTTATACTCCTCAGTTAATTTAGAAATCAATGTCAGGGGTATACTCTAATATAGGTGGGAAGAATTGACATTTTGACTGTTCATTTAAAAGGATCTGGTGGAATTCACACTTTCCTTTCGAAATATGGAACTTAAAAAGACATATCAGATTTCTGACGCATTCGCTGTAAACCACATACATCAAATAACTGCTAGCGACTGGGATAGAAAATAGGGTAGAAGGTAAGTGCTTAGAAGCACACACGAAGATACTAGTACTCACATGAAGAAATGCGATTAAGAAAGATAAATTTCCTATCAAGAAGTATTTCCAGTTATACAAAATAATTTGACAATAAATTGAGCGATTTTCAAAGCCTCCCCAGAAATGCTATGGTCCCATTTTTATGTTTAGCTTGTAGCGAACTGCTACCTTAATAAAGCATGACTGACTCAGAAATCTCTGTGGCAGATTCTCCTACATCCTGACTCAGAAATCTCTTTGGCAGATTCTCCTACATCTAGACCGACTCAGAAATCTCCATGGCAGATTCTCAAACATCTAGCTACCGGCTCAGAAATTTCTATGGCAGATTCTCCAACATCTAGCTAGGAATCAGAAATCTCTGTGGCAGATTCTCCTACATCTTGCTAGACTAGCAGAACCAGCTAAGCTATAGCCCAGCTATGAAAGAAACAGACGTACGGCACGGCGCACGTTTATTCATATCTTGTGGGCAAAGTGTATATGCAGGGAGCTTAATCATGATCAGGATGGGGGATTAGGTTAAACAGAGGTTAATGATTGGTCACTGTTTGTACGGTCGCTGCACACAGAGTTGTACGGCCGCACCTGCACGGTCGCTGCACACAGAGTTGTACGGCCGCAGGCATGCGATTACGCACTAAGCAATAACGTGTCCCACAAGCTCAATGATTCCAAACCTAAAATTAGTATATCTGAACTAAACGCCTATTCGAAATGAGCATCAAATAATAGATAGCTTACAAAATTTAAACCAATTGTATGTTTTAATACAATAGTTATTAAACTATAATTGGAAACGAGGGCGCACTAAACTTGCCAAGTAAGTCTTTCGAAAATTTCGAATAATATGAAGGTGGCCGGTCAAGATCGTTCAACATTGATCAAGTATGAAAGACTATTTAATAATTTGCAAGTGTGTCTCCTAGAATAGCCTGTATTAGTAAATGGTCAAAATAATTGTTGAACCATTTCCTTCCGAATGGCCAGGTGGTTGCTGACAAAATTTTTCCATATAATGGACGCTAAAAGATAGCACAGTGCTTTAATTGATAGCTAAAAGCATTTTACTAATTGCTTATTCATTCAGAAAGAAGGCTATTTAACTGAAAATATGTGTCCGATATGCAGTTTCTCCTATTTTCCAATTTGCCTTAATAAAAGCTATTATAAGCAGTATCATTTTCTCCATAAATCTATCCATATTATTATGTAAAAATGGTTACCAGGAATAGAATTAAAAAGATTCAAATAGCTCATAATAATGTGAAAAACTGCAAAATTTTAGGTCTAAATCAGCCGTAATTATATGGGAATATTGTAATAAAATATTCATATTTAATGCTGCTGTTTTAAAAATTGTCATCTACTCAGCTGTTCAGCAAGTTTAAATCTACATGATGGAAAGTTTTTATATTTAATGACTTTTTATTGGATTTTACATTTTGACATTATAATTAATATTTCTTTATGTTAATATTTATGCCGCGATGTATGAAATCATATGGTGATCTTCTCATTGGATGGGCAATGACCAGACAGTTTCAAGTTTATCTTAGCCCATCTGTTTCATCTATAACCTATAGCTGTGTCCATTGTCGTGCCCATTTAGCTGATCATAATGATCTTATCAGTAAGGCATTTCAAGGTAGTCAAGGACGTGCCTACCTCTTTGACAAGGTTTATTCTATTATATTAGATGACTTCTTTATTTCAAGGTTGTTAATGTCAAATCAGCTAATGCGGAAGATCGATTACTTCTAACCGGTCAGCATCGAGTTGCAGATCTGCATTGTGCCGGCTGCAACTCTCTTCTCGGGTGGAAATATGAACGTGCATTTGAGGCTAGTCAACGGTACAAGGAGGGAAAGTTTATTATCGAATTAGCGCATTTAATTAAAGAGAATCGCTGGACAGAATCGAGTTTTCCCTCCTCGCCATCTTCTGGTTATCAAAGTGGTGAAGCTACTTCTCCTGTTGGCCGTCCATTGTCCATAGAGGGTCAGCGAAATGATGCATTTACAGTGGATAGCTCGGGTGATGAAGCTGTACTTTTTCCTTCAACTTCCTCATCAAATCCGCAAAGAGGATCGCTGAATTCTGAGAGCGGAACACTGCGCCGAACTATTGAAAATACTACTACGCCAGATTTAACATTTGAACAGACTTCTCCTCAACTTAATCCGGTCAACTTGGGTTGGAATGACCTGTCTCTTGTAAGTTTCATAGCACAAATCTGAGTTTAAGCCATGTCTTTATGAAGCCAGTTCTTTGTTTTTTATGCACCCGGTTTAATAATTGTGGTATGTTCTTTATATTCGAATATCAGATTAGTTCAACTTTGTTTTAGATTTTCCTAGTTTTCCTTTTAGTTTTCATGCCATAGATCCTGATGATATTTATTTAAAAAATAAAACAGTTTTTTATGTATTTCTCTTCATTTCTCTGCATTTGGGTTATAACGCTCTCAGGGATGGTTAATAATTTAGTATTAATTTAAACGAGGTTTATTCGCTTTAATATGCCATTTCAGTAGCATTAGGACCTCTTTTAGTTAATATATTTTTATTAATACTCTATTGTATATGATTTTCTATTCATACTTTTAAAGAAGCTGGAAGGTAAATAATTTTATTTCGTCTTCAATTAACAATATTTTTATCTAAAGGAAGATCATGAAATTTGGATTTATGCGGGGGTTTAAAGACATTAATTGTCATAAATATGTTTGTATGCGATATTCGGCCAGTGATTTTCCATTGAAGCCTAACTTTCTCTGGCAATAGGGGTGACTTAATGGGGAAAATTAGGTCTTGATTAAATTAACAGCTTTTGAGTTTTAGACTTCAAATCATCTTAGAAAGTCACTTTCAGCTCGATTGTTAATTTCTCGAACTCCTGGTCTTATTTTTTCACGTTATCACATGCCATGGCCTGTAATTTTATGTTATTCCTTTCGAAGTATTTGTGACTTTATATTGCAATGTCTTCAATAAATACCAAACCTAATGAAATTGTATTCTTACATCAAGCGGTGAATCTAAGTTTCTAAGACCCGAAGAAAGGCTTTCTGGTTTCTTACTAACCACTTTTTTGCACCCAAATACTGAATGTTTCGTTTCCTGTCGGTTCTAGGAATGTAATACATGGCATAAGTTTTTATTTTTTTCTGCCAAATGAATAATTCAATGCTTTTTATTTCTTTTGCTAATCATGCTCTATTAGACTTTTTCTTAGAGGGATTCGACCAGTTGATAGAATGCAGTGGTGATTTCTACCCTCTCTTATGACCATGTGAATTTTCATCGTCTTTTCGATTTAAAAAAAAAGAGGTGGCTTGGAGTAGAAAACGCGATTATCGATCAATGAGCACTAGTAGTAGTTGAAAAAATTGTTATTGTTGATCGAAAGATTAAAGCTCGACATTGAATTTTGAAAAATCAAACAATAAATTGAGTGTTAAATTAGTATTTCACATCTCGAGTCCTTATTCATTGTTTTGATTACCTGTTTTTAAGTGCTTTACGGCAATGGTAACTTGTTCGCTTGTCTTAGATAATTGTTTATGTGAGCATGAGGTTTTGGTTTGTTAGCTTTGTTGAAAATGAAGGACCAATTAGAGATATGAACTGAAACTGGGTTTACACTCCCCTCCCCCACTCCCTTCTATCATGCCGCAAGGATAAAGTGAGAACATGCCAGTTCTCTACGCAGGCAATCAGTTCATTGTCCAGGTACTACTGGTTAGACTGTCAAAGTGCTCGAATTTCATTGGTGCATAAAGCGGTGGGTGGATCCGTTGTTTTCCTCACCAACCCTCTGCATTTCCTTGTCCTTCTGTAGGCAAACACGCAAATTTCATAGTTCAGTCTAGGTTGTTTTGTCGTAATATCCTGATTTTAGTACATCCTCATTGAACTTTTTCCCAAGCCGTTGTTTAGATGGTTTAATTTTGTTTTTCAACCTGCAAATATAAAGTTTATTGAGCAGGCACTCTTCATTCGCGGTTACTCTGACAAACGATATGGAAAGAATGTCAAGAGCGATGTTTTGAGATGACCTTAATAATCGTTAGTTTTGGCAGAAACTTGGGGGTGGGAGGGAGGGGGGAGTGTGGTCGCTGTTGCCTATAGCTCCCATCAAACCACTTTAGCTGGAAGTCGGGTAATGTTTCTAACATCTCTGTCCCAATCTCCGTATAGCATATTTAAACAATAAAAAAAACATTAAGTCATCCTTAACAATGCTTCTGTGTGGCAAAGACGCTTTTGGGCAGTACCCGAATTCTTCTCCCCCCTTCCCCCCCCCCCCCCCATAAAATTCTCTCTACCTGTTAGGCTTAAAAACAGATACTTGAAAAACTTCAATCCAACTGTCTGTATTCTCCTTCCCACAGTCTTAAAATTCACTCTGGCCTGCTGTGTGCATATATATGGCCCTTGACGGTGTTTATGTCAGTTTCAATTGGGGATTTTTTGCGCCTATTGTAGCAGCAAGGTAAATGCGAGCTGCCCCTAGTATATCAGTTTGTGATGGTGGGTAGTTACGACACTGGGTTTGGTAAATCTGCAGGCCTTTGCGTTGTTCTATGCTACACGATAGACTTCACTTTTGCTATTCTCCATTTATCCCCATCATGGGGAAAAATGACGTAGAGTATAATATGAACAAGTTATGCTGTTAGACCAATTCATGGGAATTACATCAAGCTATTCGCGCAGTATGTGTTTATCGATCGTTTGTGACTGCTGTTGTTGTTGATCGCTGCTGGAAATTTATTTATTTATAACAAATGGCAGGCGTTTTGATAGTTATCATTAGCCCTTTAGTTGACTTCGGACTTCACAGAGGGGAGTAGGAACATCAAAGTGAGAAGAATTCAGGAGGGGGAATAGAAGGGTGTTTCAAAGATGTAAAGAAACAGACACAAAGGCTCAGAAAGGGTAAGATGAGTAGTGGGGGTGATGGTAGTTTGAGCCAGAAGTCAACTGCCGGTTAATAGACTTTTTTGCCGTATGATTATGCGTTGCCCAGGGTGCACCACGTGGAGGTAAGTCTATCGCACACCCCTCGCTGCTGGAAATCAGTTGTACTATTTTTTTACTAAAGATGGCGGTTTAGAGTACTCATTTGCCATTATGCTAGTTATGTTTAGGAGATTTTGAATGATGCGGGAGTCTAGTGTTCACCACCCGTGCTTTTATATCTTCGCATTAAGTTTGCTTGCATTAAGTTTAGGGAGCTTATTTTATTGCTTAAAAATAGTTTATATTCATTTATAATTAAAAGTCCGAGATGGAACATGAGCTCGAAATACATTTCACGAATTTTTCCATCACTAGGTGCTTGTGGAAACCAGAATAAAAGACAATTTCGGGTATGAATCAGAGTTCTCTTTCATGCTCGGCCTACTTCCATGGGAATTAACTTTAAGCCCTTCTTTTACACGAAGAATATGCTTTCATCGGTGGTGTTTTGTTGGTGATAGTTAAAGCATAAGCACATCGGCTACTTTCCACCTGAACCGTCGCTCTCTGCAATTGTGGTGGACGCTTTGTATCTCGCCTTGCATGTTTGCCCTTTTAATGGGTCCTGGAAAAACTCTCCTTTCTATTGGTTATTCGTTATAACTATGCAAACAAACTCTTTGGACACGATACTTGTTTGTACCCCAATGTTGAGGAACAACGTATTCTGGCAATTTTTAATGCTTTTGGCGTATGGATTACTGGAACTAATAATTTAGTCTCGCGGGGTAGTGGTCGGCTAATCATTTAAGGTGCTCGTGGTAGTTGCTTTAATATACAATTTTACACCTTGGTACTTTGAAACAATGCCAACACCTACTGCAATCCAAGGTCACGAGGATTCTTGAAGCTTTTGACTGAACTGAACCGATAGTCAGGCAACCCCCCCCCCCACCCACCCACCCAACAATTTTAGTGAAGGTGAGAAAATGTGATTTAAAATGGGGAAAAAGTTTTTTGTTTTTTTTAAATGAGAAAATGTGCTTTTATGACACAGTTTCAACTTTCTATTCACTTCCTCACAAATTGATTTCCCTATAAAAATGTAACGAGTCGCCATTTACTACGCTATGGTACACCATGCATAATTGGTACATTTGCATATATGTTGTGAAAATCTTGAAATTTTCGCTTGTCAAATTAATTTGAGGCCCTTTTAATTTCACCATGTAAATATTTTCACCAAATGCATTCATCTTTATTGAGCTTTTGTTTTTCACGTGAAAAATTGCTTCTCATTCACTTTTGCTCCCAGAAGTGGTATACTTGCAAACGCTAACCTTGTAAATCAGGCACTGTTCATTGCTTTTTATGGGAATTCATTAGTGGTCTATGGAAAGCCTTCACTGACCTACCAAAGGTACAGAGAACGTTTTATATCAATTGAGTGTATTTAAACTTTTTACGTGGGTTCCACTGTTATGAACAAATGAAGCAATAGTTGCTCAGGTTGTCTTGTGATTTATTAGGCGTTTTGATCCTTATTGCTCCGCGCCCAATATTTTCGCGTTTAAGGGTCTGATGTACAGCACTTAAAGTGCATTTTCGCTACCTTCACCCGGTCCGAACACATTCTTTCATGTTGGAATCGCTGTGCTGCCAACTGCTGCAAGGTCTCCCATTTTTTTTCTCTGCCATCAATTCAATCCTTTCTCCCACTTCACACAGACAACATCTGTTGAGGGTGGGGGTGGGGGGGGGGCACTTTGCATGAAATACAGATACTTTTTATCGATGTGATTGCATTTAGAGACACTGTGGATATTTGGCATTTATTGGATTCTCTTTTTGTAATCTTTAACGTTATGGAGGAAGCATTCTAATTCTGTTTTCACCAATGCCTCAGTTAGAAGGTGGAGGTTTATGAATTTTGAGATATCTCATGGGAATGGAACGAGTGACTCCACAAATTGGACCAGGTGGATGACATAGATTTGTGTGTTCGAAGTATAATTGCTAAGAAGTTGATAATTATTGGCCATCAAATATTTATATTAAATGGCAGGCTTTATGATAGTTACCATTAGTCATTTAGTTGACTTCAGGCTTCACAAAGTGGATGAGCATCAAAGTCACAAAAAATGTCGAGAGGGAGAACAGAAGAGTGATTCACAAAGGTAAAAGAGGCTGACACAAAGGTAGGGAAAAAGATACTGTGAGAGCTGTGGAAGTGGTCGAATATGACATAGAGTCTGGGCATGATAGTTTGAAGT